GTAACGAGAAAAGATAAGGGGGAAGAATTAAATATTTTTGATCTTGGTAAAAATACAGACATGTCAGTAGGGGAAAATAAAATGGCATCTGGGGTAAAAGTGTGATGTTAGTGACAGCCAAAAATGAAGGGACACTTCAGCTTGAGAGTCAGTTTAGTCTCAACATCAAAGGGGCAAATAAGAGAGAGAGAGAGAGAGAGAGAGGGCTAATATTTCTGCTTGACAGGATGTGGAGAGATTTCTGTTAGAAGAGAATAAATATAATCAAACCATTTATAAAGCTCTCAAAGAACTAATAAAATGTAAAACATAATAGGAAGAAATAAAAAAGGAAGAGTGGAAAAAAATTCCATCAGCATTTGGGGATAATGAAATTTTGCAGGGCATTTTTTGATAAAAAAACAAAACCAGTATAAAACAAATGGCAAAGACCTGGCTGAGAACAGAATGTGGTGCTGTGCTTCCTTATGTATCCGGATGCTGTTCAGAACTAAACTGTAGATTTCTGTTAGAAAGCTTTTGGACTGGCTTAATTAAGGTGAGAAGAACAATGCTAAACTGGGTGGGGTGTGCATCTTTCAGTAGACTGGAGTCCCAGACTAGATAACAAGAGAGTATATGGACCAGGAACATCTCTCTCCCTCTCTGCTTCCTGACATCAGGTGCCATGGTGACCACCATTGACTGTATCTCCTCTCATTCTGACCTGAAAATGGTCGTGCTTTCTTTAAGTGACACATATGCTATGTATATTTGGGCTCAACAATGAGAAAAGAAGCCCATATACCCTGGAGGTAGAATAAATAAGTAATAAAGTTCATAATAGAGACATATTAGGAGATAGAAAAAATAGTCATGAAAGTAGAGAAACAATAAAATCATGCTTATACAAAGTGGGAGACAAGTGGTAAGATTGCAAGTTGATTATTGTAAGTTTTGACTTACATTAAACTGATATGCTAATGAAGTATCTCTAGGTTATTGAATCTGTGTGAGATACATTTTTTACATGTGTCACCTTAGTCCATTCCAACTGTCTGATGGTGGGGTGGGAATTGCTGTTCCTTATTTATTTGTGGATGAGGATATGGGGTGGGAAATGCCAAAATTTGAATTTTCACTCTCCAAAATTCGTGTTTATTTAAAAATGGTCTTTGTGTTTTCTTAACACATTATGTCCGAGATAGCAACAAGAGAACACAGGGAATCAGAAGAAATGTTTGAGCGTGGCCCCAGTTTAATTCTGAACGCCATCAGGATATGTAATGAAATACAGTGCAACATTCTGTTCTCAGCTAGGTATTTGTCATTGTTTTGATTTGGCTTTGTTTTTTTCCTCAAAAATACCCTGCAAAATTTCATTATCCCCAAATGCTGATGAAACTATTCCCGCTCTTCCTTCTTCTTATTTATTCCTGTTATTCCTATTTCTTCCTACTATTTTTACATTTTTATTAGTTCTTTGTGAGTTTTATATGTGGTTTGAATATATTTACCCCCCTTTTCAACTCTTTCCCAATTCTCTTCAAAATGTACGAAACTGTAAGTTCATGACAGAATATATTTAAACATTTTCTAAAAATGTGTCATTTTGGGGGTTATTGTTCAATGTGTATAGGATTTTAGTTCAATGCCTTTGTCAATGCCTTTAGTCAATACCTTTGTCTATTTTTTCCTGTTGCCTGTGTTTGGGTGTCATCTCTGCATAATCATTGCCAAGGTATACATCAAGAAACTTTTACCCTGTTTTTTGTTTGTTTGTTTGTTTTTCTCTAGGAATGTTATGGTCGTTTGACATTGTACATTTGAGTCTTTAACCACCTCAAATTAACTTCCTGTTTGGTCTAGGTATAAAAAATCTTTTCAGGAGATTGGGGGTTAGAAATTATAATGTCAATTATTGTGTAAGTAGCATATGTGATTTCATTCCATTCAAAATTGAGACTCTGGGAAGATATGGGCTGAAGTTTATTCTAAATATTTTATGCCAGCCAGCAGTCATTTACTTTAAAGTATTTTATTTTTATTTTTAAATTGTGAGGCTGTCAATCAAAACCATGAAAGTGTAGAGCCTTAGGTTTTTTTCTTCAGTGCATGAAAGGAATTAAAAAAAAAAAAGACTAATTAACTGAAATCATTCAATCTTTGATCACAGAAATACAAACCACGACTGTAAGTCACAGAGCAGTTGTGACTTACACTCACCACTATCTTAACGAAGAATAAAAGAAATCCATGAAAATAATTTTAATTATATGTACTGTTAAATATCCCAATATACCCAAAAACATTTCCACATAAACCAAAATAAAAATAGAATTATTAGCTAAATATATTTTGTAAATATTTATATTATGTTAACTATTTGATATTTAGTATATTTTACTGTTACAGAACATTTTAATTGAGATTCGCCACATTTCAAGTATTTAATAACTATTAGAATCTAATGTCTACAATAGATAACACGTTCTAGATAAGTTTTTTAAGAAGTGCCCTCTGTAGTTTCTACCCTTAGTTCTTTTTCTCCTGGCTGATAGATGTGACTTCTTAATGACTTCCCCCTTAACTGATAGCTTTGTATAGTCACTCTTCTATTTTTCATTATGATTCTGAATTAGGTCCCTGATTCCAGTGTTTATGTAGATCAACAATTCACTTCTTGATTCTCAGTACCTTAACATACTCAAATCAAATAAAATTTGCCTCTCTGCTTTCAGTCCTTCTCTGTTAGAAACAAATGGTGAACTTCATATTCAAATGTAAATTATGTCTCCAATGATTCACCAAGACTGTTGTTTCTTATTTCAAAAAATAAAAAAGGAAAGATAGACAAAGACAGGGAGAAAGAAAGGAAAGAAGGAAGGAAGAAAGGAAGGAAGGAAGGAAGGAAGAAAGAAAGAAAGAAAGAAAGAAAGAAAAAGAAAAAGAAAAAGAAAAAGAAAAAGAAAAAGAGACCCATGAAGATCTCTCTTCTTTAGCCAAATTGAGACACGCTTCTTCAGGTCTGTTGGTTAATTTTTGTCAACTTGACACAAACTAGAGTCACTTGCAAACTGGATACCTCTGCAAAGGAATTGCCCCCATCATTGTGTCCTGTGGACATGTCTCTGAGGCATTTTCTTGCTTAGTGATTGATATGAGGACCCCAACCAACTGTGGGCAGGTGGTACTCAGTTGTATAAAAAAAGCAAACTAAGCAAGCCATGAATATGAAGCCAGGAATCCAGTTCGTCCTTGGTTTCTGCTTCAAGTTCTTATCTTGAGTGCATGTCTTGGCTTCCCTAGATGATGGACTATAACCTGTAAGTCAAGGAAACCCCTTCCTTCCCAATTTGCTGTTATTTAATATGTTATTAATTGAGATAGAATTATGGCCCAGCTACCCTCCCTCCATGTCTCTAACCCAGCTCTCTCAAGTTGATGGCATCTTTTTTTTTTTTTTTTTTTTTTTTTTTTTTTTTTTTAGGTTACCCAGGGTTTCTCTGTGTAACAGCTCTGGCTATCCTGGAACTTGTGTTATCAGGCTGTCCTCACACTCACAGAGAGCCTCCTGCCTCTGCCTTGTGTGCTGGGACTAAAGGTATGTACCACAACCTAGTATAGCCTCTTTTTCTTTGATTACTACTGTTACAGATATAAATGTGTGTGTATATATATGCACAAATATGTATATATCTTATATATACAATATACAAACACAAACTCTGAGTCCATTTTTGTTGTTGCTCTGTATATGGTTTCAAGGCTGACCATTCTGCATTAACCTACCTTAGTTAGTGTTTCATCACAGCAATCTTGAAGCAAACTAGGATCTCTTTTGAGATACTTTATACTTTCCCAACCTTATCTACTTACTGAACACAGATGGCTAAGGTTCATAGAGGTAGGCTTGAAGATGCTCCAAGACACCAGAGTCACACAGAACTAAAATTGCCTCTGGCACTAGGCCACTACTTTAGAAGAGATGCTATGCAGTGTTCTCTTTGTTTTTTCCTCAAATACACCTGCATTTCACCTGTTCCACTTCAAAGACATTCTACATGATAGGAATAGGTCCAGCTAGCTTCAAACTTCAACATTTATGCATGCCTATGTACACGTTTCCCATGGGATTTCACAGACTTCCATGATATTAAATAAGGTACAGTATCAGCCCCAGTACTGGCATTTCCAGTCACTTCTTTTCTCTTAAGCTCACATGTCTCTTATCCTCATTTCTGTTCTCTAGCTGTTGCTGCCTTTTCCATTCTCTTGAACAGCATTGATTTCTATACTATCACATCCAGCAAGTACAAAATTGGGGCTTTCTTCTAACAATGTTGCCCCTTCCATACTTATTATTTCATTTTGATTTTTTACAATTTGTGAATGTGTGTGTGTGTGTGTGTGTGTGTGTGTGTGTGTGTGTGGTGTATGGCATATTCATATGGGTTCAGTGCCTATGCAGGAGGGAAGAAAGCATCAGATCCCTTGGAACTGAAATTATAGCTAGTGGTGAACCATCTGACCTGAGTGCTGGGAATCGAACACTGGTTCCATCTGCAGGAGCCATTAATCCACCCCATGCCACATGTTTAATCTGTGATTAAAATCTAGTCATTCTTCTGCATTAATTTCTCTTGAATTCTTTATTTGTTCTTTCTGCTCACCCTGGTTCACTTTAATGTCTGACATTTAAACCCACATCAGTTTCTGCAGTGTGGGGTCTATATTACAAATGACTTGCCTTTCACTATTTTCCTCCCTTGAAAATCATAAAAGATAATGATGTTTATGATATATCTTTAGCTCTCCTCTGCGTACACTGGTTTTCCCATGCATTATTTTGGGGAGAAATAATTTTTAGAAATATTTTCCACAAAAGTCAGAGATAAGGATCCTACACCTATGACAGGAGTTACATCTGATAAGTTGAGTGCAGGGTGCATGACCCTGTTTTTCTGAATGATGATGCATATTTTACGTATACTATACTCTGATTTACAAGAGAAAAATATATGGCTGCTGAGTGAACTGCGGGGAATTAAAGAGAGCTGCATAGTCTCTACCCTCATGTGCAGATGCTCAATCAATCTTGACTGCAACTTCAGCTTTTCCATCAAGAACGGTGAGCCCTATTTCTGTAATGATAAACTTGCTTTTTTTAAATTCTCAGTTCTCTTTCTTGGTAAACACAAAAATCATTTTCTCTCCTTACGATAGGAGATTATCTCAAATTCTGCTTATTCTTTCAAAATACTTTGATAAACAGCTGCTCCAAATTTCTAGAGAGAAGGAGTCATAGATTCATAAAAAATTTAGTGTGATTATATCTGTCAGCACAATCTTCCAAGCTCTTTTTACTGAAAGGGTTGATTTTGTCTTGCTGACTGAAGTATAAACATGGCTTCAATGATTGTGAAAACAAATATTTAATTTAGAAAAACTTATTTCCATAAAAAATCATGAAGAAGGAAAGATGCAACTAAAAGTAAAGAAGATATATTTGATATTAGGTTATAAAGATTGGGCCAAAGGTATAGATATTTCTGAATTTTGAAACACTTATATTGTATTGAAAATACAGGCTAACTTTCTCAATGCAGTTAATTGCCCTTTGTTAACAGATTCCACTAAACTTAGGAAAATGAAAAAATATGAATAAAAGATTTATTTAAAGAGAAGTTTCTTTTCTTGTACAAAGTTCTTGGAAAATTTTATGTGTGAACAGAGTAGACTTTCTGAATAAAATAGTATTTCATTTTGAATATTATACCCCCCTAATTGAAAAGTTGTCATTTTGAAAACTTATCAGTTATTGCAAAGGAGCAAAATTTAGCAGCTAACAAAGGATGTTGACAGCCTTACTTCTGTATCTTCATGGGATACAGAATAACTCAAGATGTGCCATGAAAGTGCTGGGAAATCTTGCAAAGAACAAAAAACAACTGCCTGAGAAAGAAGTAATCAGGATCCCATTTCCTCTTTTGAGGAAATACCAACAGAGATTAGTAGGCAACAAAGGTTACAAGTTTCTCATGGCGGGGGTTGTGTCATCTTGCAAGAGAAGGAATTGACACTGGTAGCCACACACAATGCTAGGGCCCAGCTTTCTGTGGGGGAGGCCTCAATATGGAAGTTAAACACCTCTGTTTAATCCCTGATCTACTTGCCCAATCTTAAAACCTAATTTGTGTTTTGTACCCATATTGTAAAAGTAGGAGCTCAGGTGTCTGAAACTATGGAGTAAACATTTCTGACTGTACCTATGGAAACAGAAGAGCAAGGAGCTCCACTTCCACTTCTCTTCTCCCAGAGTTTCTTTTCAAAGCTCTTGCTGGGTTAGCAGTGAAAGGTCACAGAAAACTGAGCAGGCATAAGGTACAATCTCTTCCAATGCAGTAGTGATTCTTACTTCTATTGGTGTTTTTGAGGTGTATGAAACATGTGTTGGGCTACACGTCAGCATTTGTTGGCAGGGTTGTTTTTAAGAGCGTTCCCTGGTGCTTATTGTAATGTCCATAGTTCTTGACTTCTCACTGGTAATCTGTGATGACTCTGCTTGGTGACACCTGCTCAGGAGTAAACAAAGAAAATCTGTTGCCAGTATGGTATTTTCCACCAGCAAGATGATACCCTTTAGTGGTGATGATAGCTTTAATACAAAAACAATAAAGCTCACATTGTATGTTTAATACTACTAGGTAAATGAGAGTATCTGAGAAGCATCACATTAATGTGCTAGTATAACCTAACACTTGGGAAGTAGAGGAAAGAATCAGAAATTCAAGGCCATTCTCAGCTACATAGCAACTCTATTCTGGGCCACATGAGAGCCTTTCACAAAACAAAGTCAAGTACACAAAGAGAATCAAAACCAAAGAAATATATTAGTTTGGTTTCTTGTGAGGATGCAGCATCACACAGGATTGTGCACATAGTTCCATAAGATGGGATTCATTCTCTTTATTATGGATTCCTCTAAAAGGAAAAAAACAGAACATGCTGAAGAGTTAGCTAGATATACTTTCTCACTTACCTGAAGAAATTAAGTCCATCTGAGCACTTGAACTGAGAAATATAATTTAACAAAAAAATTGTACCCAGTTTAAGAATAAATGCATCTGTAATTAGAAAATCTTCTGACATAAAAATTTCTGAATGTTAGTCCATCCCTCAATATTATTTTATATATGACTGATTAAACTTTTCATAATTTGCTTAGAAACCAGTTTATAAATACATACATATCATGCATTCCATAAACAAACATGTTTTTCTATTAAAAAGATTGAATACTAAATTTTACATTGAGATCTGGGGATATATATTATAGGCAGAACATTTGCCTCTAACATGCAAGATCCTAACCTTAATTCACCTTTAAAAAAATGAGAGTGGGAGTTAAAACATAGGAAACAGAAAAAAATACATAGACTTTTCCTTATTTATTCAGTTATTATCATAAAAATAAGTCTTACCTCAATAAAAATGACTTTTTATAGTCTCAATTGTGCCTCAGCTTTAAATACATTCACTGTACTTCCCATGCATATTTAATTTTAATACTGCCCCCTAATTGTCCTTGTAGCAGAAAAGACCATATGTCAGCCCACAGGGCCCATTATGTGTGATACAGCTAAGCAGCCAGATATGGGAAGCAGTATTCTTGCCTTTGAAATGGCTGCTCTATTTTACTTCTCTGTTCCCAGAGGAAACGTATAAAATGTTACCTGCAGCTGGTTACAAGCATATGTGTGTCATCCAGTAGCTCTCAGAAGGAATCTGGGGCATTCTCTACTGAGCCATGATCAATCTGTGTTAGTCACACTTGGGCTAGGTCACTTCCCACATGGGTAGCAGTACAATGGAAGCTGGGAAAGAATCAAATCCCTGTTGCCTTTGTTCTTGGAGATTGCAAGGGAAAAAGAAAAATGGAATGCTCTACTCAATTCTGTTTAGCAAAGATCAAGTAAGGAAGGCTAATCTTGCATTTAGACCTTTAACTCTCTTTTATGCTATGTGTTTTGCTTGAGAGTTTCTTTTTTAGAAAGGATGTGATAGTATAAAGTGACTCTTTAGTGATAAAATACAATGGTCCACAATATACTTATCTCACAATAATTGCCTTAGCTGTTCAGAAAAAGGTGAATATTGTAAAAAAGCTTTTCTTCCTTATGGCATTAACAGTCATAAGACATGAGCCTGTAGTGGCAAATTTGCCACAATTTATTTACTGGGTCTATCAAAAGATAGTAATAGTAAGTGGAAATATGACAAAAAGGCTATATACAGAATAAAATAAATACTGTGTTTTCTTAATATTTAATGAAATTTCCTGTACCTAAGGACAGTTGAGTCTTGATTAAATTTGGTTTTGTGGGATATAAACCTTACTGACAGGTAGGTTTCTACTAGGCTCATGGCCATGATTCCCAGTGGGAAGGGTGTTCCACCAGACATCCTTAAAGTCAACAAGATATCACAGGATTTATGCTTCATTGAGCAACTGAAAGGGCATTGTTCTTCCTTCTGAATTGTGCATTTTTCTATACAATATGGATAAGTAGTATTTTCCATTTGACTTTAACATAGAGATTATCTTTCTGTTTGTGTCTTTGTTTGTTCTCAGCTAGGTCTCATTGTTTAGCTCAAGCTGTCCTTCAAGTCCTGTGCCTCTTGCCACAACCTCCCAAGTGCTGGAGAATGTGTCACTACATCTGTTGATGAATGCTATCTCAGAGTTAATGGCAAAAGTAGAATCAGCAACTGACTTGAGAGATCATTAAGTCCCCTTTCAAGGGTCAGTGACTTAGATTAAACATTCCCAAAGAAGAATCAGAGTTCAATTTCATATACAGATAGGATTATTTTTTGTCATTAGAAAGTGGGGGCCATCAAGCATGAAGATATTGGGTGATTATACAGCAGAACAAACTAATTAAATAATCTGGGGTCAGCTGCTGATATTGAATTTTGGCACTACGTTGCCTGCTAACAAAGGATATGTTACTCAACTTTTTCTGGCACTTCAATTGTTTTCAACTTAAATCATTGTCATAGAGCTAAATTTGACTGTTTTGAATTAATATTGTATAATGTTTTAATGTAGTGACTCCAACAAAGAGCTCTGTAAGTATTAAATAAGAAATTAAAATTTAAAATTCCTCAACTTCATGACTTCAACAAAGTACAACAGGAGTAGATTTGTACATCAGCTGTTCTACTTAGACATAATTCTACATTACTTCCAGTGACTGTGATCAGATTAATGTTTAGATGGGGTTGTCCCAAGCTCTGAATGTGGGACAGATGCTTTTGGGTCAGCAATTTCTGATATATGAACAGACCAGTGAGACTTTTAGGTTAGGATGAGATTCAAAGTGACACTGTGTAAACAAAAGTGTAATGGCTAACCTTAGTTGTCAACTCAATGAAGAGTAGAGTTACCTGGGATAGGATCCTTTGTGAATGCCTGTGGAGGATAATCTCCTTAGATTAATTGATGGAGAAGACCTGTCTATAGGGGATAACATGAGTCTTTAAACTGGTACTCACTCGGGGTTGTATGAAAAGAAGAAAGTGAGCTGAGCACCAGCATTTATTGCTGCGAATGCAATATGGACAGTTGCTTTAAGCTCTGCAGCTTTGGCTTCCCTACCATGACAGACTGTATTTTGAACCAAAATAAAGTCTCTTGTCCTTAAAGTTGCTCTGTCAAGGCAACAGCAACAGAATTGTAACTGATACTTGAGAAGTGTGTAACAATTCATCAAACTGCATGGCTACCATTGCTCATGTTTCCGTGTCTGGGCTAATAGCAGGTAGAACCTTATCATAGCTCTACAGCAGCTACCATGGAAACTGCTATGGTCTGACATAGTTCAGCAGCTTGGGCTTTTCATCCTCTCCTTCAGTTTAGTCAGATCACGGACTGCTAGCCTCTATTCATGGTTTGAGATAAGGTTTGAAAAGAATCTCCAAATTCCCGAGTAGGGGCATAGACCTTGTCTGTCTCTCATTACTAATTCCCCAACTGCAAGGATTTGTCAGTATACAGCTATATTCACTTTTGCCAGGGTTCTGTCAGACGAATGAATTTTGTAAAAAATTATGTTTGAAAATACTTGAAAATCAAATAAAATTTCCAGTGGGAGAATACCCAAAATAGAACAGAAATATGCTGAGAAACTCAGTGTCAAATAATTTGGGCACTTTATTTAATAAATATGTTTCAAGCTACGATATAAATCACTTGATTTTTCTGAGAGTTATAGAATGTTCTCATGGGACTGTATCACAGGAAAAAGTACATGAATGTGTAAAGTAATTAAAATAATCATCCACAAAAGAAACCAAGAAGTCTTTGTAATTCATAAATACATTTACTCCAAAAATAAAAGTCTACTTGTTTATACATTTTATTCTGTAGTCATATTGTACCAAAACAATTAGGCTTTCACTCTTGAGTGTAAGTAATTATGTTGACAAATGAAAAATGACATTTTAAAAGGAGTAATTTTGTCTGAAGTTAAGATCTTTCATGATTTTTCAAACTTATTTTAGAAGTTTACTTTTTAAAATAAGAATTTGGTTTTTTCATTGGTTATAGAACTAATATAGTCCCAAATCAAGTTAAGTCACTACTGCATTTCATATTTACTCTCAAAATTCAAAATTATGATACTTATTACAGTTCTCATTTTCAGTTTCACTCCATGATGCCAAGGAGATGAAGAGATAAACATGTGGGTATGGCTAGGCAGTTTGAGCCACAGGATGCAATTAGCATCCTAGCCCAGGGTAAATCCCTGCCTCCCACAGTTGAAGTCATGGAAGGATTGAAGAGAGGAGCAATTACATTTCCTGTGTCCTCTCAATGACTTATGACACCAACTACCTGGAATTGAACCAAACTTCACAATTCAAGGATACACTCTTCTGCAAGTAAACTTTCACCCCATGCACCAGCTGCTAGTTTGGGTTCTTCAGACCAACATCATTCTGGCCAGCTGGCTTCAAATTTGGAAATTCCCACTACTAGTTCAAATTTTATTTGCTAGACTGACTCACCAAAACTTAAGAAAGTGCTGTACTGATGGTTATACTTTATTATGACTACAGGAAATCAGAGCCATCCATATGGAAAACTTCACAGAGTAAGATCTAAGAGAGGCCCAAATATGGAAACTCCCATTGTCTGTGAACTTGTGGACTCTGTGAACTTGTAGACACTATTATCCAAATATGTTGTAGTACTCAAAATATCAGCAATCACTGAAAGCTCTACTTATTCTCTGTGTCATCATTTTGTTGGGGTTCTATTACATAGGTACAGTTGGCTGATTCAATGGACTTGTCCTTCATTCTCCAGCCTCCTTCTCTCTATGTGCTTAGGCTGATTTCACCAATCATAAAGCCCTCACACTTTATGGATGATTATGGATGCAGCAATTCATAGACACACTTGGAGCTTTGTGAAGGTAAGTAGAATCAGAAATTCAAGGTCATTATGTGCTACAAAATAAGTTCAATTCTAGCCTGACCTACATGAAATGTTTTGACTCAGATAGATAGATAGATAGATAGATAGATAGATAGATAGATAGATAGGAAAAAAGAACAAAAGAAGGAAGGAAAGAAAGAGAAAGTAAACAAAATATTATCTCTCTAATTAGATACTTGATGATCTTCCTGATAATTCCACCCTAATGCTTCATTTTTTGACATAAATTATCTAGATGCTTAGCATGTATCACTTTAGTAGCATGAATAGTTATCAAAAATTGTCAGCGGGCCATACTACACATAACAAGGTCACACTAATTGTTTGAGAAGCCCAAGGACTTATAGGCTTTCTCCAATGGGGACAGAGAGCAACTAAACTTTTCCTACATAGTTCCTGGTAATTAAAAGTCTCTGAGCTCCTAAGGAAATTAATTCAATTTAAAGAATATATATTAATGGTTTTCTATTAATAGTTTTCTATGACTATCATTTGTTAAATATGATTTGTTTCTTTTGTGGAAGACACTAAAACTAATGGGAAAACTAGGTAATAGCTAGAATGATTGACAGAGGAAAGTGCTACACAGTCTATGAAACTCTCTTTCCCTACATGTGCTTCTCAATTAAATCAACACTGATGTCCTACTGTTGCTTTTCCTCAATCAGTTAGGGTCAGATTGATCTGAATATATTAAAAGAAAAATACAAAACTAATGGTAACAGCAATAGCAAATGGTGGTTTAAGTATATAGAAAAGCTAGAGTGATAGAGTGTGGGATAGTTGGTCTCTTGGTGGTGCAAGGAAACATAGCTTTCTCCTTTTACTCTTATTGTTCTACTCTGTATTGTGCTCTACAATGAAGAACAGTACACTTTATTTTATATAACTCCTCACCCCCCCAATCACCAGCTCAGCCCAAGAAAACTACATTAATCTCTTTATGAAGACAATTTTTCTCATTATAGCAAATAGCCCCTAAAATCTTCACCACATCTTGACAGTACTATGTTGGGGAGACCAAGGTTCAACTGAGTCTTGATGGAGATTAACCGTGTACAAACCATAGTGGTTATGCTCAACTGAAAAGTCATAGGTACAACCCACGATATTTTAAAGTAGGAAAGATTTTTATATCAAGAATTTCATTTTTTTTCTGTTTTATGAAATTAGAAAAAGAAGGGTAAGCTAAAACCAATGCTAAAAATAAGATAATTTTAAAATATTATAGCTGACAAGTAAAATAGAGAAAAGAAAAATGCCAGAAAAATACAACAAAACAAGAATTAGTGTTTTAAATGAAGAACAAAATTGACAAATTTTTACATGCAGTTACCAAGAAAATAGAAAAAAGATAACTCAGAAAAGATTCCAAAATTAGATACCATGAAAGGAAAATGAAAGACCTATATATTATATAAATAGTTGGGAAAATTTCCTCATCAAATTAGCAAATTTAGTCTAGCACCATATCAAAAGGATGATATGTACATAAAAAACAAGTGAAATTTATTTTGTGAATAGAAATGTAGTTTGTTATAAGAAAAATATCCCTGAACAAAAGGGAAATATATACTCATCTCTGAAGACACCCACATATTCACACACAAGGGAGTTGATAAAAATTTTGTGATAAGAGTCAAAATGTATCAAAGGCAGTTTGTAATGTACAATATAGTATTTTGGAGGAGGACACTCCCCTGTCTGGAGTCATGCACTTATTTGCTATCAACATGGCAACCTCATGAGCATGGGGTTAGTGGGAAACCCTCACATAGCATATTTAAACTGCAGTGAGTACTTAATTTGTCAAAAAAAAAAAAAAAACCCACGGCTGATAATTAAGACTCTGATAGAAGGTTCCCATAGCCTTTTGGTAGTTGTGGGATCTGATTAACATGAATGTCAAAAATTTCTTTCTGCTTTCAACATGCTTTATAATGTAAAAGCTAAAGTGCTTCATTCTATTAAGTTCCTAATTAAAAGCATTATTCATCATGTATTAGGAAAGCATATAAACACTTCTCCAGTCATACACTCTGTACATATCAGTGAATGTCTGCACAGTTAAAATAATAATTCAAACTACCTGAAACTTCACCAAAGGATCGACACCTTCATTACCAATATATATTACATATACATATATATATATATATATATGTATGTATATATATATGTGTGTGTGTGTGTTGTATAATATAATATAGATGCATATAATTTCATCACTACTAATTATATATGCAATTTTTATCACTATAAATTATGTCTTATTTTTGTCATTCTTACCATTTGAATTCTTGATCTTCTTTCTGAATGCATGTTATTTTTATGATTAAAAGTAGAAAGGCATATTTAAAAAAATCCAATGACCTTTTATACAAAAGCATACCCAGAAAACTAAAAAAGGGAAATTACTCTCAATTTGAAAAAGGGTATCTGAGTTCTGCAACAGGATGTATGACAGGCTTACTAAGAGAATATTTAATGTTAATGCTGAAAAATCTACCCTATAAGCAGCCACACAGTAAGAATGTCCACATTTGCCACTTCATTGCACTAAAAAATTTTACCAGTGCAACTGAGAAAAGAATTTAAACTACACTTCTTATATACAGAAAACCCTGAAGAACATGTGTGCACATGCACACGAGTGCACCCCCTCACACACACACCCCTAAAGATACAAGTTCAACCAAATAGCAAGATGCAGATTCACCATACGTATTTAAACGCATTTGTATATGCTAGTGATTAACAGATTGAAAACACTATCTTCAGTTATTTACAGAAGCACTCCAAATAATAAGACTTGGTTACAGATTTGCATTTCAGCTTTGTAGACTCAAATTATAAAACAGTTGAGAGAAGTTTGAAAGACTTAAAAATAGAAGAATTGTGCTGATAGATTGATAAGATTAATGTTATTAAGAAATCAAACAGCTTCAAATTTAAGATTTAAGCCCATCTATATTAAAATTCTGATAAAATTTCAATGCAAATAGACAAATTGGTCTTAAAATTCATGTTAAATTCAAAAGTACTCTAAAAGCCAATATAATATTTGTAAAGAATAAGGCAGGAGAATTCATACTCTCTAGTTTAAGAATAATAGATTTATATTAATAACTAGCATAAGGATAGATATATAGATAAATACAGTAGGGTTGAGAATACAGAAAGGCACTAATATTTATAGTGAGCTGACACCCAAAAGTACTGACAGTGCTATTTAATATAGAAAATACAAATAATGTGTTTAACAAATTGTACTGGGACAATAGACAATCTTGTGTCAAAGAATAAATGTTGACTCCTACCTCACACCATATGCAAAAACTAGCCAAAACTGATTAAATATATACACTTAAGAGTTCAAAACAGAAAATATCAAAAGGAAAAATATTTATGCCATTAGATTAGTGTGAGTTGGACAACATCTTCATTAGTATAACACCAAATTACAAAGAGCCAGAGTGAAAAACAAAGATATCAGACCTCATTAAATTAATAACCTTTACACAACTGACGGCACATTTAAGAAAATGAAATGGTCATGTTTACAGTGAGAGAAAAAGTATGATGAGCTACCACATCACACCTAGAAGACCACAATCAAATGGGAGGAAATAAAGGTGTGGCTGAGGATTCTGAGAAACCCTCATCCACTGAGGGTGGGAACATAATATAAACTTGGGCAAGTACTGTGGAAAACACTTTGAAAGCTCTTTAAAATTTCAAATATAAGGTTACTACAAAAATCTAGCAATTTTGCTCCTTGGTATATATTAAAGGGAACTGGAAACAGGTGTTCAAACAAATGATTTATATGAGCATTCAAAGAAGCATAACTCACAATAAACCAATATTTAGTTAGGTAGAACTAACTATATATTCAACAAATGGCAATGGAATTTCTTAAACTGTACAGAAATGTTTAGCAAAAAAAAAAAAGTGCTGAGTACTCATACATGTAACAACATACTGCAACATAGATGAACACTCAAAACTTTTATTTGTGCTACAAGGGAAAAAAGATAAAAGATAAGTTGAGTAGTTACAATTTTGTTTATAGAACCTATTTAAAATAGACAAGTTCAGAAAATCAGTAAGAAAGTGTAAAAGTAGTTCTCAAGTTAAGAGAAGGAGTGATGGAGAATGACGGTTTGGTGGCCAGTACTGTACTTTGAGTACACTAGAATTTTATGAAATGGTATTCTTTTTTTAATAATTTATTTTTATTTTATGAGCATTAGTGTATGGGTGTCAGAAGTTGAGTTACAGACAGTTGTGAGCTGAGTTGTGAGCTTGTGGGTGCTGTGAATTGAACCTGGGCCCTCTGGAATAGCAGTCAGTGCTTTTAACTGCAAAGTCATCTCTCCAGCCCACTGAAATGGTATTCATTATTGCACCATTTTGCTGAAGTACTTATTCAGGTTGCGTAAATTAATCACATTTATTTATTTATTTATTTATTTATTTATTTATTTATTTATTTATACTGTGTGTGTGTGTGTGTGTGTGTGTGTGTGTGTGTGTGTGTGTGTGTGTGTGTGTGTGTGTACACTCATGCAAGCATAGCAAGGAGTGCCTGTGGAAGTCAGAGGACCACTTGTGAGAGTTGGTTCTCTCCTTTCACCAAGTGGATCTGGGGATCAACCTCCAGTTGTCAGGCTCAGTGGCAGATATGTTTTTATCATCTAAGCCATCTTTCTAGCCTAGGTTTTTATGATCTTTATCTCCATTAAAATACATTCTGCACACAAAAGAAAGGGCTCTGCACCCTATCTGGGCAGCACACTTGGGCTGACCCTATTGTCTGGGATGCAGGTGAGCAGGCACTGAGGGTGAGAGAGCAGGGTAGTTGACACCTCCCCTCCCCCCATCTGCCATGCAGTGACATGGGTGATGGAAAGATGCTCTTCCCCTTGTGCCCCTGGCTACTTGCAGCAGGCAAGAGAGCTTGCCCTGGGCTCCAGAGAGTGAGAGAACTAGCCCTGCCTCTCACCAGCTGCAGCACACAGGAGAAGAGATCTCGCACCCTGCCTGGGCAGCACACTGAGGAACAATAACACAGGAGAACAACAGGGTATCTAAGAGGATCCCCAGTGAGAGCCCATTATCAGTGGTATAGCAGTAATCAGAGGCCTTGAGGCAGATCAATGACCTTTGACAATGAACACTAGCAGTAAAGATGAATGGACTAAAGAGTAAACTGTGTTACTCAATGGGCCTCAATTCTTCCAGGACACAATTCTTCTTTTTTTGTTTCTTTGTTTTTCTTTCTTTTTAAATTTAGTTTTGTTGGGGGGGGCATTGAAAACGCAGAGGGTGGATTGGAAGGGATGGGAGGTAAGTGCAATTGGAATGCATGATGTGATATCCACAGAGAGTCAATCAAAAATATGCATGTATACATATTTACATACATTCTGCTTTGCTTCGGGTATTCTATTTACAAACTTGGTCCCTTCAGTTTCTTCTTCAATTACACTTTTCTTGCAACAAGTTTTGAAAGTAGACTTACTTTCCAAAAATCTTTGTTTAAAACTATGGATGTCCAAGTTTTGTAGTTTGTTTTAATCAAGTTGAAGTATTAATGAAAAATAACTAAACTTGAATACGTTACTGTAGAGCGATGACTTTATTGGCCAAATACAAAGAAAACAATGATCTCTCAATTTGAATTCATTTTAGCTGCTCTTATGAAGGTGACCAGCATGGCTATTATATACTACAACTTCCTCAAGGCATCTTTCTCCTGGTGAAAGATCCACACAACCCTCCTTCTCCAACTTGTGATCAAAGCACTCCACTTGACAACATTCACAAAGTGAGCATGCCTGCGCATTCTCCAGGGACACCTTCTTGCCTGGAATGCCAGTGAGATCTTGTCATCCTCTAGTGGCTGAACTCCAAAGCTACATTCCTAGCTTTCGCCAACATGCTCTGTCCCACAGTGTTCCATATTCATTTCTAACATTCGACACTTTCACTTGTGATCATAGGAAGACAATGGTAAGCTATTGCGTATAGACCCAAATACATCTAGATGCATGTGTGCTGTAGTGAATAATATCATGCTTGCTCCTTGGTCGGTACTGCACTCCTAATTACTTACCTGAACATTTTGCATACTCATGTCACTTTCATTTTACTTTATGGTCTTGCTAGGCTGAGGCCACTATGACAGCAAAATTACCCCATAAAGTGTAGGTAAATCACATAACACAATAAAATTATACACATGTGATTGAATATTTCATTGGCTTTTGGTTATTGATTTTTTTCTAGCTGATATATCTGAATTGTATTTTATAACAGCAAATGTGCAAATATTGGGCTAATGTACTTACAAATATCCTGAATTACTTTCTATTACTAAAGAATGATTTCTATTGGGCTGAAGTATTAGGATAAGTTGAATTAACCACTGGGCTTTCAACTGTTTAAGAATGTCTTTCCCGACTTTTGTTGTTATTATCACTAAAAATACACAATCAATATTTGTTCTACAGAAGTTACTCACTCTATAACTAATTTATCTGTTTGATGCCAATAGAATTTCACATATTAGAACTGCTCAAAACTACACTTAAACCAAAACTGTTTCTCAAGGAGTAGTTTGCTTCCTAAAGTCTGTACTAATGAACCTTGACTCTGCCTTATGTCACAGCTGGGCACTGAAATTCGTTCCTTTAAGTTCCAGCCCTACTAATTCCCTGAGCAGCTTCCCCAGGAAAGGTCCTTCTTTTAAGTCTGGCACTACGCTATAAACACACTCCTGTTTATTCCAGCTAATGAAAAACAGGCTGTCTGGAAATGTGTCTCTGAGGAAAATGCCGAGCAAATCTTTAGAAACACAGCTCTCTGAGTTGACTGAAAAGATAGCATTTGGGATTATGTTGTAAGCAAAAGTTATGGTTGATGTTATATATCAAGCTAAAAAATAAGTCTAATTGGGTGTAAAATTTTCTTGGCTACATCAGCTTGGGCTTTGGTCAGAATGGGCAAAAGTGGTGAGAATTTTTTTTTTCACACATAGTTAGCCTTCTCCTGTCCCTGCTTCCACAGCACTCTTATTACTGCCCCCTCACTCCTGACCCCAATTTTGCTTTCCTGCTGGGAATCCTTTTCTGGTCTTGTTATCTCTCCTTGGGATCAGTCAGGCTGTCCTTCCTTTCTTCTCTTCCGTTATAAGGTGTCTAACAGTTTATAGCCTTTTAATCTTGTGGCTTTTCCTGTGGACAGTTTCAAACAGCCTCTACAGCTGCTTTAGGTCCTTTCATTTGAAAAAAAAAACTAGCGATTAACTTTTGAATCACAGTGTTTATTATTGAAAAGTTTTCCAAGGGTCTGCCTAACTGAGTGTATTGTCCTTGGAAATTATTTTCATCCAAAAGTTAATTTTCACTTGAATGCTTAATAGTGAGCAAATGACAAGGGCTGTTTTTCTATAGCTTCTCACCAAACTCTAACTGTCCACATCTCTGTTCTCTATAGTCTTCAACTGCTTGAAGAGATGTGCACTTTTTATTGACTATTCTTTATTTTTAAATGCAAATGGCACTCTCATTTCAAGTATGTGACTTTGCTCACTCTTACTGTGCATTTCCCTCAGTTGTCCATTCCTTCGCACTATTACTCATTACTGATTCTTTAGTTGCTTTCCCAGTGCTCCTGGAAACTAAGTATTACTAGTGCCTCCTGCGTGACTCATGCAATGCTCCTTCAGGAAGCCCCCATGGGTTTTATTTTCCTATGGGAAACTTCATTTGATCAATATTATTTGGTTGCTTTCTGTAGTGAAAATGTATAATATGAAATATGAAGATTATATGATATTGGGGAATACCTCCTGTGGAGGTCCAGATTGTAGGTCTTGAAAAGAATTTTTCATAAAATAATTTAGTCACTCCAGGGGGAGGAGTTCTTCTGTCACCCTTGCTTTTATATGCTTCACATTCATGTTTTCTTTTTCTATCGTTTCCTTCTGTTAGCTTTGATTGCTCTTAATATGATATCCAAAGAGAACCAAAACTTTTTGGGTGAAGACAGTTTTATACCTTACTCCCTTTGTAGCTTGCAACTTCATAGATGCTCAGAAGACTAAAGAAAGCACCGCCCAACTGCCCCAGGTTAGTCACAGAAACCTCCTAATTCTTATACTCACGTTGAAAAACTGGCCTGAAATGTGATGGTATGAGCCTGCAGGATTCTCAAAGTTGTTGTTGCTTTTTTCCCCAGAAATTCATATCCACAGAGATATACTTGCAGACTGAATCATTATCGCAATGATTACTTGTACTATGACAAAACACAAATTAGGTTCACATTATTTGGTTTAGAATAAATTTTTAGCATTACATATTTAATTAAAATATTATCAGTGTGTATGCACATGAGTGTTTTTTCTGGGAACTGGTTAGGCATCACTTGCTTGAAAAGCCCTTTGAGGCCAGAGGAGGGTTATCCTTCCGGAATGGAGTGACAGAGACTTGTGAGCAGCCATGTATGTGCTTAGGATAGGACAGGGTAGTCTGAAAGAACAGACAGTATTCTTTATCACTGAGCCATCAACTCTAAATCCCCATTGTATCTTCTTTAAGGAATGCTTGCCAAAAATAAAACTCTCAGTTTCATAATTCATAGATCACTGCCATGCTCAGCCACCATCAGAGCAGCTCTTGTTTTTCCCCTCTCTGTGGAAACTAACACAGAAACCCACAACTGGACACTGTGTAGAGAGTGAGAGACTTTGAGCACTCAGTTGTAAATGGGATGTATTTCCCAACTCTCTGATTTATCAAGGCCTCCCCTCAGGCTTCAGTAGTCTAAACTAAAGTTGAATTAGAAATATATAAGGAAAATACTATATATATATATATATATATATATATATATATAATCAGTGTTATTTGTATGAAAGAAACTGCTTCCTTGATTTTTGTAGGTTTGTGTGTGTTTTGGTTTCTGGGTTTTTTGTTTTTTTTTAAATTGTGAGAGAATGGAAGGGCAGAATTGGGTGAGGAGAGAGGCAGGGAGGCTCTGGAGGATCTGGGGGAGGGAAAAATATTGTATGAAAAATATTAGTTTTGTGGCTCTGCTTCGTCATCAGGATCTTTAGCTGCACTGGTGCAGGGGGGAGAAGGGAACAAAAGCAGGAAATGGGGTTAATAGGATGGCTGTGGGGAACTCAGAGACAACCCTCTGGGAGTCAGATTTCAGTGAGTCAGCTCAATTTTATTCCAGAGCATAAGGAATATATACGATTACAAGCCTGGGGACAAACCCCAATTTGCATTAAGTGGTATGCTCCTATCACAAGGCTTTGTATGAGGCAGTAGGGACCTATAGAAGGGCTTCTAACACAAATCTTCCAGCAGGAATCTGTGCCAAGGGTCAAGTTAAAGATAAATCAGGTATCGGGCTTAGACAGCTTTCAGATAAGGTCAGTCCTCTGGGTTCAGGGATATTCTCCAGATAAGGGCAGGTAAAGAGCAGGAAATTTCACTGGGGAGGGAAGGAGTCTCCATGTGACTGAGCTTTTGGAAAAAGCTGTCAGGCCATGATATACTGTGACCTCTGACCAGCCAGCAAGGTCTTCCAACACTTTTCAATTTTAAAAAAAAAAAAAAAGGATAATTAAGTAGCTAGTGGAGGTGAGTTGGCAAGTTTCCTCACCAGGTGAGAGTGCTGGCTGCTCTTGCAAAGACACTGAGTTCAGTTTCCAGCACTGAGATGGTGGCTCAACGTGCCTGGGGCCCTCTTCTGGTATCTGCCAGCACTGCATGCATGTGCTGCAGATACCAATCAGGAGTCTTCTCAGCGCAGTGAGAGCTCCAAGGAACTCACAGACCATCATCACCCTGCTGCTTGTTTCTTGGCTTCTCGCCATGGAAGCTGGAAGCCCTTTCCTTTTTTCTGTCATTTTTGCCTCGTATTTGTGCTTCCTTGATGAAGGTATCGTAAACCAAATTTCTAAGCTACTCTTTGGGGTCTTTCTTGTGTGAAATGATGTGCACACGAGTAAATAAACCACTTATCAAAAACCAATACTAATAAGTAAATAAAATTTGTGTCTAGAATTTGTTTTAACTTTAAAAGAAGAAATATATGCTTAACAGTGTTAGGAAACCCTGTCCTAAGTCACGATTGAGTTTGCTAAACACACAAGTAAAGGAGTTCCTCCTCAAAACTACAGTAACAGCATAGCTTTCTGTGATTGCTCATGGCTTTTCTTACATGTATGCCTCAATCACCCCCACCTCCCCTTGTATTATTCCCAGCTTCTCCCACTCCTAACTTTATGCTTTCCATCTCCTTTTCTTTTTCTTCTTCATTAAAAACTCACTAAATGCACAATTAGTGTTTCCTGTATGTGCATGAAAATGGGGCCATCCACTGTGACATGAACAGATCTACCCATAGCTACCTCCTCGAAACAGAATTCCAGTGGGATAAGACCTTGTTACATAGCCCAAATTTTACTATGTTGCTGCAGGATAATTGTTTACACTACATGAAAATGTGTATTTGTGAATTGTTTAATAAAAAGCTGAACGGCAAATATCTAGGTAGAAGAAAACAGACTGGATTTCCTGGGAGAGAGAGGAGTGCTGGGAGAAGAAAGGCACAGATACCAGTGAGGATTAGGAAGAAAATGTCATCAGGTTGCATTGTATGAAATTCCCAAATAATTAGTAAAAATATTATGTTGGGGGAACAAAGCAAAACAAAAACTGAAATATGACTTCTACTGATTGAATTAAATTTTTATAACATTTAAATTCAAGCCATCACAAATTGTCTCATCATACATCTGAAATCATGTGCATTTGTTATGACATGCTGAGAATGCTAATGCTGTCCTCAGAATTTATAGTTTATGCAGTGGAAATCGCTTCCTGATTCTCTCTCTGTCTCTCTGTGTCTCTGTCTCTCTCTCTCTCTCTCTCTCTCTCTCTCTCTCTCTCTCTCTCTCTCTCTCCCTCCCTCTCCCTCCCTCTTTCCTTGTCTCTCTGCTTTGTTATTCAGAGAAACCTGATTCCTTGCTATCATTTCAGTGAGGGGACTTTCTATCTATCCAGTGACAGCACAGGCCCAATGTTATCTGATTTGAAGAACTCAGCCTTCTAGTGTCTCTCCAAGGGAACAGCATTGATCTTTTAGAAAGATGACCAGATCAAGCTCTTCCTATGCCATTTATTGTTACAACTTTATATCCACAGAAGTTATATTTTAAT